CCGGAAGTCGGCTTTGCCGCCAGGGATCTTTCAGTCTAACGTTTCTCACGGAGCTACGTTCGTTTCCTTGTTCGGGTCCCGGGCGCCGGCAGCGTGTTTCTACAATTCTCGGCGCCCGGGATCCATCCGATCAAATAGCAATCGGCCCTCCAAGTTTCCCTGGTACCAGGGATCTCCAGGGCAGCCGAGTCCAAAGCGCTAAGAGCTGCTCGGACCCCGGAATGAATGAATGACCGGTGGCCTTTCCAGCCACGGGGGGGTGGGAGAGGAGGGTGACCCTCGTCTGGTCAGAAGCAGTCACACTTCACTCTGGGGTCCCATCTCAGTCCATCCCCTCCAGAACAGGCGCCCCCACGCGCCCCTTCCCTGCCCCGCGAAGGAATGGGGAGCCGCGATCTCGGGACGCGCTCCTCCACCTTCCGGATCCCCTCGGTCCCCGCTCCGCAGGACTCTCGGCCTTCCCGGAGGCCAACTTCAGGTCCGCCACTATCCCAGGATTCCCGACTCCCGGCTTCCTGCCCTCCTTCCGCTCGCAGCGCCCGGCGGCTGCGGGAGCGGCAAGATGGCGGACCGCGGCTGCTTGAGCGAGGCCGTGGCGGCTGCGGCCTCTCCTCCGGTTCCTGCTCCCGGCCCGAGCCCGCCGCCGGACTGGAGGGGGCGGCTGCGGGCCGGGCTGGCGGAGGCTGGGCCCTCGCTGTGGCTCGTGGCGGGGCTGGGGCTGCTTTACGCTCTGAGGGTCCCTCTGAGGCTGTGTGAGAACCTGGCGGCGGGTGAGAGGACCGGACCTCCCGAGGAGGGGCGGGGAGAGGGTGCGGGAGAGGTGCCGGGGCCGAAGGCCAAAGGGCAGGGGATTCCCGTGAGCACGGAAGGCCTCGGAAGGGTGGGTGTTCCTCGACCCAGCGGGTTCTCTTTCCCTTGGGCTGCAAGCCCGCAGCTGATGGTCAAGCCACAGCAGCAGCCCTGGGCTCCCCCCGGGAGCGCTTAAGATCCGCCCCCTCTCTCTGTCGTGTCCTTGTTTATCCGAGGGAGAAAAAAAAAAAAATCACTTGACCAGCTGTGAGCTTTAGGTGGTAGGACGGAAGAGAGTATTGTCGGATTTGGATACAGAATTTATATACGCCCGGCCATTGGTTAGGGGCCCTTGAAAATCATTCCTTTACGTCTTCTGCCACTCAGCTAGAGGATCCCACACCAGACAGCAAAGATGAGCACATCTGTAATCCAAAAATTTGGGGGAAAAAAAAAAAGGCCATGATCTTAGTCGACCATTCTCTTGTTTTAAAATTGTTCTGTTAAGAAAGAGTTCTTAGCCGGGCTCGGTGGCTCAGCCTGTAATCCCGCGCCTTTGGGAGGCTGAGGTGAGTGGATTGCCTGAGCCCGCGGGTTCGAGACCCGCCTGGGCAGCGAGACCTCATCTCTACAATAAATCAAAAGTCAGCCAGGCGTGGTAGCACATGCCTGTAATTCTGGCTACTCGGAAGGCTGAGGCGGAAGGGTCGCCGGAGCCCAGCAGGTCGAGGCTGCGGTGGCCGGGAGCGGCCACTGCACTCCAGTCTGGGCGACAGAGTGAGACGCCAACTGAAAAAACAAACAAACAAACAAGAAAGAGTTCTTGTGATATTTTGGTCTATTCTTTTAGGCTTCTTCTTGAGCAATAGAACAGAACATTGCAGGAAGTAAAGAGAAAGGGCCACAAACAGCAGTGGTTTTTGTTGGTTTTTCAGCATCTGTAGAGCGTTTGCTGTGTAGCCTGTGTTAAGGATACAAAGAGGCGTGAGATGTTTCCAGTGGATTCTGCAAATACTGTACTGTTCTTTAGTTGTAGACAGGACCAATTGAATGAGGCCCAGGTCCTCTCACCGTGTCATTTCTCTCAAGCTCTTAGCAGCGACCTTAGAACAAGATGGGAGCATTTCTGTTATATGGTGACTTTGATTATCCGTGCAGTGATGGGTTTTTCTGTAGCAAAAGAAGGCGGATGTCTCCTTTCTTGTAATATGAGATGACATGAAAGACTGTGAGATAATGTTCCAAAATATTTTGGATTTTTTAAGAGAATGGGTACGACGTAAATTCAGATATAACTAGCATACTAAAGCAGACTGAAGAGCTAGTTTGGTGTTTCTGTAACAGGTAAATGAAGTACTTAATGGTGGTTTGAATGCTCAGTAAAATGTTATTCATTGGTTTATCATTTATTTTTTTACATATTAACCAGATGCAACATTTAGATGAGAATAGTTGACGATTACAGATTTTTATTTCTTTCTAAAACCCTAATTATTTATGAGACAGTTATTTGAAGTGAAGAACTGAGCAAGATTTCAGCAAGTCAGCTTCAGAGAGCTCTGTTGCTTTTGTCTTTGAGCTGTTTTTGCCTCTCTAGCTGATTTACCAAATACATACACTGTTTCCTTCCCTGTAAATTGAGTTGCTGGTTTTGTATCTCAATGAAGTAATCAGGGAGTAGTTTTAAAGCTCCTTTCTAAAGGCATGTTTGTTTAGCTTCTTATTTTTGTAGATTTGCAGAAGTTCTTATCCAAATTTTGACTTATAAGCACTTTAGTTTTATTCTCAAAAGCAATCTGAATTTTCTTATTTTGATTTGCTGCTAATATAATTAATATATTTGTGTATATTATATGTAAAATTGCAGTTTCCTGAAATGAATTTCATACTACTTGTGTGCCTCCACTCATAAAGACACCTGCATATTTGTAACTTAAGTACAAATAAATTTGCCTTTCTTTAACTTTGATTTGTTTTTATTTTGACAGTGGCAGTATTTTTAAATTCACTGACACCCAAATTCTATGTGGCACTTACAGGGACATCTTCTTTAATATCAGGACTAATATTTGTAAGTAGCTTCCATTTTCATTCTTAATGTTTTAGTATTTATCAAGAGATCCTTTATATGGTTACAATAATTATAAATTATAATTATTTATGAATCAGCATTTTAAAAATGTTTTCAGTATTTGAAAAAAGAGTTACCTATTCAAACAAGTTTGGAGACCACTGCATCTCCTTTTAGAGACTGTATTTGTATATTAAAGACTTCTATAATATAGTGGGGGAAGGGCTGGGGCTTGGTGGATTTGAAATTAAATGCCTATAGGACCCATGTTGCTAACAAAAATAAGTATAATGGACAAAGTTCCTTTGAGGACTGGAAAATTTAGACAGTGCACGCTCCTTCTAAAAGGGATTATTGCAGATCTTTCAATTTTTCAAGTGATTTTACAAGAACCTGAATACACAGATTTTATATCAAATTTCCCAATTAAAAAATAAATGTCTGGACACAGTGGCTCAAGCCTGTAATTCCAACACTTTGGGAGGGTGAGGTGAGAGGATTGGCTGAGCCTAGGGTTTAAGACCTGCCAGGGCAACTTGATGAGACTTCGTCTCTACAACCAATCAAAAAATTAGCTGGGTGTGGTGGCACGCCTGTAGTTCCAGCTACTTGGAAGGCTGAGGTGGAAGGATCAACTGAGCCCAGCAGGTCGAGGCTGCGGTGGCTGTGAGCGTGCCACTGCACTCTAGCCTGGCACACTCCCAGCTGTGGCTGATATAGTGGGAAAAGCATTGCGTTTGGAATCAGAAAATATGCTTGGGAATCTTGACTTGCCACTTATTAGCTGATAACTCGCGCAAGACACATAAACTATCTCAATAATAATTTCCTCATTTATAAAGAGGGGTATAGCCAGGTGCAGTGGCTCACGCCTGTAATCTCACCACTTTGGGAAATGGAAGAGAGAGGATTGCCTGTGTCCAAAGTTTTGAGACCAGTTTGGGCTGCAGTGAGACTCCCACTCAAAAAAAATAAATGAAATAAATAAGATGGAGTCTAACTGCTGCCTAGGATGGCTATTTACAGGTGGGATCATAGTGCACTAAGGCCTCAAACTCTTGGGCTCAGAAGAGCCTTCCTTCTCAGCCTCTCCAATACCCAACCCAATATTTTATTTTATTGTACTGTATTATATCGTATGGTTTGTATTGTATATTTTTTGAGTTGGAGTCTCATGGTGTCGCTCAGGCTGGAGTAAAGTGACTGCTCATGGTTGCTGCAGCCTCGACCTGCTCGACTCAGGCTATCCTTCTGCCTCAGCTTTCCAAATAGCTGGAACTACAGGCATGCATCACTACACCTGGCTAGGTTTTTGATTGATTGTAGGTGCGAGGTCATGCCAAGTTGGCCATGCTGGTCTTGAATCCTTGGGCTCAGGCAATCCTCTCGCCTCAGCCTCCCAAAGTGCTGGGATTACAGGTGTGAGCCACCGCACCTAGTACCATTATTTTAGCATTAGCAACATTGGGCAGACTAAAATGTATGTGTCTTGAATTCAGCCTATAGTTTTTCCAGGCCCAGCGTCCTCATCTGTAAACTGGGGATAATAGTAGTACCCAGTTTATGGGATTATGAGGACTAAATAAGATAACGTGTATAAAAGTTAGTAACATGGTAGCTGGCTCAGAGTGAACATTTAGCGAATTTTGGCTGTTATTATTCGGAGAAGTCCCACGATAAAGAAACCTGTTTAACTATAATACAACTTTTCCTTGAACAAGATATCATTTTTAACTTTAAAAATATTTTTAAATTTTATAATCCCCATTAACGTCCCTAAATCTGGTGTTTCCTAGTGTATACTTTGGAGAAATAGTGCTACAGATAAAAATCTTAAGAAGTTTTATGTCATGCGTGGCCAATGAATTTTTCTGTTCTTTTTTCTTATCTCTAGGTGGTGCTCTCCAGCTATAAAAAAATAGCATTTGGTGTATGGGACTTTTTTTTTTTAAATAGAGACTAACACGACTAGTTGGGTTAAAGTAAAATGCCAGACCAAAAAAAAGGATTTTCGTTTGGCTTTATTTTTATTTTATTTTTTATTTGTGGGTAGGAGTCTCACTCTGTTGCCCAGGCTGGAGTGCAGTGGCATGCTCATGGCCACCGCAGCCTCGACCTGCTGGGTTCAGGCAATCCTTCCGCCTCAGCCTTCCAAGCAGCTGGAACTGTAGGTGCACGTCACCACGCCCATCTAATTTTTTGATTTATTGTAGAGATGAGGTTGCCCAGGCTGGTGTCGAACCCCTGGATTCAGGCAATCCTCTCACCTCTACCTCCCAAAGTACTAGGATTACAAGTGTGAGCCACTGTGCCCAGCTTCATTTGACTTTAAAGAAAAAAAAGAAAAAAAAATGAAGAATTAAGAATAAAAACTATATGTTAATATAAGCCTCAGAATTTACTGATTTATAAAGCCTACTCACAGTTAAGCACATTTTAGCATATGTAATTGATAGCATGCAAAAACCTAAAAGCAGAAAATAAGCTGTCTCTAATAGGCGTAAGCCACTGCTCCCAGCTGTGGCTGATATAGTGGAAAAAGTATTGGGTTTGGAACCAGAAAATATGCTTGGGAATCTTGACTTGCCATTTATTAGCTGATAACTCGAACAAGTCACATAAACTATCTCAATAATAATTTCCTCATTTATAAAGAGGGGTATAGCCAGGTGCAGTGGCTCACGCCTGTAATCTCACCACTTTGGGAAATGGAGGAGAAAGGATTGCCTGTGTCCAAAGTTTTGAGACCAGCCTGAGCAATTTGGCAAGACCTCATCTATACAATAAGTCAAAAAATTAGCTGGGCACGGTGGCATGCACCTGTAGATCCAGCTACCTGGAAGACTGAGGTGAAAGATTGCCTGAACCTAGGAACTTGAAGCTGCAATAGCAATGAGCATACCACTGCTCTTCAGCCTGGGTGACAGAATGAATCTCCGACTCAAAAAAAAAAAGAAGGGATAACTTCCCCCTACATTCATATATATCATGTCACCTTTAAAATTTTTTTTGGTTGCTCTTTTAAAAACAATTTTAAATAAGCAAAATTTACTAGGTGCGGGGGCTCACGACTCTAATCTCAGCACTTTGAGAGGTGAAGGTGAGAGGATTGCCTGAACCCAGGAGTTCAAGACCAGCCTAGGAAACATGGCAAGACCTTGCCTCTACAATAAATCAAAAAATTAGCTGGGTGTGGTGGCACACTCCAGGAGTTTCAGCTACTTGGAAAACTGAGGTGGAAGGGTCACCTGAGCCCAGCAAGTTGAGGCTACGGTGGCTGTGAGTATGCCACTGCACTCTAGCCTGGGTGACAGTGAGACTCTGACTCAAAAAAAAAAAAAAAAGCAAAAATTAGGAAATTCAAATAACATTTTAAAGGTTAAAATGTGTCATTCTGGGATTTTTGCTGGGTTTTTATTAGCAAAGTTTGTTGTGTTTATAATTTCTTGTACCTCCTGGACTTATCAAACGTGTACACACAGGCTGGGCACACTGGCTTATGCCTGTAATCCCAACACTTTGTAAAACTGAGATTAGAGGATCATTTGAGGATAGGAGTTTGAGATCGGCCTGGGCAATATAGTGAGACCTTATCTCTACCAAAAAAAATTATTTTTAAATTAGCTTGGCATGGTGGCATGCACCTGTAATCCCAGCTACTCAGGAGGCTGAGGCAGGACGATCGCTTGAGCCCAGGAGTTGGAAGCTGCAGTGCAGTGATCCGTGATTGTGTCACTGCATTCTATCCTGGGCGACAGAGTGGAACTCTGCCTCAAAAAAAAAAAAGTTTGCATAGACATACATTTTCAAGAACATATGCAGTGATGTACACTTATGAAGCAGTCTAGTGTAATGGTTACAAGCTCTGAAATTAGCCAAACCTGAATAAGAATCCCAGCTCTGCCACTTAACAGTGATATGAACTAGAGCTTGTTATTTAAATTTGGAGTATGTGTTCTCACCTCTAAAATCAGCTGCTATAAGGATTAAATAACATAATACAGGTAGAAGACTTGGTATAATGCTTGGCTCATAGGAAACTTTTGATAAGAATCAGCAATTATTATTATGATTGTTTATTTGTGTTGACTTAGCTGGGCGCGGTAACTCATGCCTGTAATCCCAGCACTTTGGGAAGCTGAGGTGGGACAATCGCTTGAGCCCAGGAGTTCAAGACCAGCCTGGGCACCATAGTGACACCTAGTCTCTGTAAAAACAATTTTTTTAAAAAACATGCCTGTAGTCCCACCTACTCAGGAGACTGAGGTGGAAGGATTGCCTGAGCCCAGGAGGTCGAGACTGCAGTGAACGGTGATTGCACCACTGCACTCCAGCCTGGGCGACAGAGTGAGATCCTGACTCACACACAAAAAAAAGGTTGACTTAAAAGTTGAAAAAGGATGGGTGCAGTGGCTCACGCCTGTAATCTCAGCACTTTAGGCTGTGGAGGCAAGAGGATTGCCTAAATCCAGGGGTTTGAGACCAGCCTGGGCAACATGATGAGACCTTGTCTCTAAATAAATCAAAAAATTAGCCAGGCATGATGGCATGCGCCTGTTGTTCCAGCTTCTTGGAAGACTGAGGCGGAAGGATCGCCTGAGCCCAGCAGGTTGAAGCTACAGTGACCGTCAGTGTTCCACTGCACTCCGGTCTGGGTGACAGAGTGAGACTCCCAACTCAAAAAAAAAAGATGTTGAGGAAGGGCCAGGTGCCATGCCTTGCGCCGATAATCCGAGCACTTTGGGAGGCCAAGGTGAGAGAATGGCTTAAACCCAGGAGTTCAAGACCAGCCTGGGCAGCATAGCAAGTCCTCTTCGAAAAAAAAAAATATCCAGGCTTGGTGGTGTGCTCCTATAGTCTCAGCTACTCAGGAAGCTGAGGCAAGAGGATCACTTATCCCAGGAGGTCAAGGCTGTGGTGAGCCATGATTTTGCCACTGAACTCCAGCCTGGGCAACCGAGCGAGACTGACTGAAAAAAAAAATGTTGAAAAAATCTCCAGCTTCATTCATAACAAACCACCTGCACTTCATATAGTGCCCTTATAATTATTGTCCTTGACAGTATTTATCTAATTTGTTGTTGTTGTTGTTGTTGTTGAGACGAGGTCTTACTAAGTTACCCAGGCTGATCTCAAACCCACGGGCTCAGGCAGTCCACTCAACTTGGCCTTCCAAAGTGCTGGGATTACAGGCTTAGTCACTGAGCCTGGCCTTTATCCAGTTTTTTAATCCAAGATACATCCAATATAAATCTTGTCTTTTCTGTCACATGAACTATTTGTTTGTGTAATTTCTTCTGGTTGTTTTAAAGAAGTTTCAGCCCACTTCTGACTAAAACATATGGTAGAAATCAAATCAGGGCCATATTTGGTGGTAATTAATTTCTTGCTGACTCAATTAGAGTGAGCAGAGAGTCCATTTCAGACTGAGCATAAAACACTAGTGGCATAATAGAAAAAAATGAGAGTGCCAGGCATGGTGGCTCATGCCTGTAATTCCAGCACTTTGGAAGGCAGATGTGAGAGGATTGCCTGAGTCCGGGGAGTTGAGACCAGCCTGGGTAATTTGGCAATACCTAGTCTCTACAATAAGTCAAAAAATTAGCCCGGCATGGTGGCATGTGCCTGTAGTTCCAGCTACTTGGAGGGCTGAGGTAGAAGGATTACCTGAGCCCAGCAGGTCGAGGCTGCAGTGGCCATGAGCATGCCACTGTACTCCAGCCTGGGTGATAGACACTGAGACTCCAACTCAAGAAAAAAAGGGGTAAAAAGATTACTCTGAAATGAAAACACAGGATCCAATGGAAGTGCATTAAACAGATACATATCTGTTTTGTTCTGTGGAATCGGAAACATTCCCCAAGGAAGTAAAATGTTAGCTGAAGCCCACAGGAGTCAGGCAGAGGGAGCTGGGAAGATTGTGGTGTCCACATAGGAAAATTTCTGCTAATTTGACCAGAGAGCTTCTTTTGATTACTTGTTTTATAACCATGGAAACTGACAGAAGGGAATATTCTGATTTTGAATTGGTTCAATATGGGAATCAACCTACGCTGATTGATATTAGTAATATTGCCAAATATTGGAGTAATACTTTTTGGTTCAAAGTACTTTGAAAGTGCTTTCTTATTCTTTTCTTTCTGAATCAGATGTCACTTTGTTGCCCAAGCTGGAGTGCAGTGGCACGATCGAAGCTCACTGTGACCTCTAGCTTCTGGGCTCAAGTGATCCTTCATCCTCAGCCTTCCAAGTAGCTGAAACTATAGGCGTGCACCACCATACCCAGCTAATTTGTCAAAATGTTTTTGTAGCATTGAGGACTCTCTGTATTGCCCAGGCTGGTCTCGAATTCCTGGACTCAAGTGATCCTCCCACCTCCACCTTCCAAAGCGTTGGGATTACAGGTGTGCGCCACTGCACCTGGCCACTTTCTTATAATTCTTGCTAATTATAGTAGATGAGAACACTGAAGCTCAGAGATGTTAGAGATTAAGTGACTTGTCCAAAGTACACAGCAAACAAATGACTGATTTGGGAGTTCAGGGTGGGCATTCCAGTCCTAGACTAGGGCTTAATCCACTATGCTGGTTGTTTTAAATTGGGCGGTCCCTTCAGGTTCCCTCCCACTGTGGGAGCTTTTCTGTCCTCTCAATAAATCCTGCTTTAAAAAAAAAAAACCCCAACTTTTTAATTATGCTACAGATAGAATACAATGACAATGTAATGTAACAGTTACTTATAGATTAAATGTCTTACTGTTTTTTAATACTTTATTATGTATGCATCATTTTGCTTACGCTTGTCTAAATTTTATGACAAAACTATAAAAAAGAAGCTTCACTTTTACACAGCATGTGCTATTGGTGAATCTTGTGTTTGTGGGTGGTTTTTTTGAAGGAGAATGCATTTAAAATGCTGAATTGAATAGGAACATCCTGAGCTCACATATCTGCTGATCAGTTGCATTTTAAGTGAAGAATGTTTTCTGTTTGTCATAGATATTTGAATGGTGGTACTTCCATAAGCATGGCACATCTTTTATTGAGCAAGTATCTATAAGCCATTTGCGACCTCTAATGGGAGGAACAGAGAACAGCATTTCAGAACCAGGTTCTACTTCCAGCAACAGAGAAAGTGAAACCAACAGACAGAATTTGTCAGGTGACTACATTTCTAATATGCTTTCAGAGCTGTATATTAAGATTGAGTTGGGCTGTGAGATATTGAAAGCTCAAAGCAACTTCGAGTTGCGTATGGCGGTTCATGGCTGTAATCTCAGCACTTTGGGAGGCTGCGGTTAGAAGATTGCTTCAGCCCAGGAATTCAAGACCAGCCTGGGCAACATAGCAAGACCTCATCTGTGGTTTGAATGTTTGGGTTCCACCCAAGATTCATATGTTAAAACCTAATCACCAATGTGATGGTGTTAGGAGTGGGGCCTTTGGGAGGTGATTAGGCTGTGAGGGCAGGAGCCTTATAAACATGACCCCAGAGAGCTGCTAGCCTCTTCTACCATGTGAGGATACAGCATTAAGGTGCCATCTGTGAAGCAGAAAGTGGGCCCTCACCAGAGACCAAATCTGCTCATACCTTTTTTTTTGAGTTGGAGTCTCACTCTGTCTCCCAGGCTAGAGTACAGTGGCACGCTCACTGCCACCGCAGCCTCTACCTGTTGGGTTCAGGTGATCCTTCCACCTTAGCCTTCCAAATAGCTGGAACTATAGGCACATGCCACCACACCTGGCTCACTTTTTAAAAAATTTATTATAGAGCTGAGGTCTCACCCAAGTTGCCCAGTCTGGTGTCAAACCTGTGGACTCAAGCAATCCTTTCACCTTGGCCTCTCAATGTGCTGGAATTGTAGGCGTGAGCCACCACGCCCGTCCTGCTCATAGCTTAATCATGGACTTCCCAGCCTCCAGAACTCCAGAGAGAGAATTATCCAGAGAGCTAATTTTCTGTTGTTTATAAGCTCTCAGTTTATGGTATTTTGATAGAAAGTCCAAATGAACGAAGAGACAGAAAGAACTTTGTCTTTAAAGTAGATATAGGTAGTTCGTGGCCAGCATGGAGAGCAGTAATTATCAGAGACCCAGACTCTGTTTGGTTAGCCTGCCGTCTTCAATGTCATGAACCTTACAGTCCAACATAGTTCTCTGCCTTCAGCCATCATATCCTCATTTCAATCTGCAGGAAAGAAAAAAGGCTAGGAGAAAGACGCATCTTCCCTCTACCCAACCCCACAGCAGCCAGCGACGCTTCTCAGAAGTGTTGCATACTATTTTGGGTTGCCTCCTACTGGTCAGACCTTTGTCATATGGCCGCTGTAAAGGAGGCTAGAAATTTCAATCATTTTCTCAGTGTATATGCCCAGCAAATAATCAGAAGATGTAAGTACTGATAAAGGAGAGAACAGAGACAATTAGCCATCTCTGCCAAGAGAACAAAGTAGGAAAATACTTTTCCTTTTTGGTATACTAAAAAGGCATCAGATTCTTTAGTTCTTCATGTGTGGAAATTCCATTGTTGTATTTCAGTTATAGACTGTTCTTCTATATGTATCCAGTAATAGAAAGTGAACATTATTAGTGATTGTAATTAGGAAAGTAATATTTTCTTTTTTTTCCCTTTATTTTAAAGATGGTGGGGTACAATTCAGAATTAGGTATACAAATGTTCATTATGCAGGCACCCTTGTTGATGAAGTATGCCCCTCCCTCCCCTGGCAGTTTCCCTCAACTACCAACCCCACACTCCCCTCCCGCGGCAGTTTTCCACTGCTGCCAATCCCTTTCTTATAGTATTATGATAATTGTTCAAGGTCCGCATATGAGTGAGAACATGTGGTACTCTGTTCATTGTTTCTGTGATAGATCACTGAGTATGATAGACTCTAAATCCATCCAAGTTTCTGCGAAGTCCATATGTTTATAGGAAAGTAAAATTTTCAAAGCCAAATAAAAATCCTATTTTTAGATTGTTGTTCCTTTCATTTGATATAAGTAATAATCATACAGTAATAATACATAATTCCATAAGATTCCTATAATGTCTCGTTTGTTCAATAAACCTAGCCACTAGAGTTATGTCAGTTTAGCAGAAGAATACTACCTTAGTGCAATTGTTGGCACTTTTTAGATATGGTCAGGTAAAGTACCTGAGGAAGTACAATTTAAGCAGAGTCCTGAAGTATGAGCTAGCATAGTGGGGTGAGGTTGGCAGCCATTCAAGAGAGCTAGAAGGAATATGATAATTTCCTCTTTTCCTTTCTCCCCCTTTCATAAAATAATTACAGAACTAAGAATAAGACTGATAAGACGAATATGGCCAGGTGTGGTAGCTCACACCTGCAATCCCAGCACTTTGGAAGGCTGAGGCAGGAGCATTGTTTGAGTCCAGAAGTCTGAACCCATCCTAGACAACATAGTGAAGCCTCGTCTCTACAAAAAAATTTTTTAAATTAGCTAGTTGTGGTGGTATGCGCCTGAGTCCTAGCTGCTCAGGGGACTGAGATGGGAGGATCACCTGAGCCCAAAAGTTCTAGGCTGCGGTGAGCTGTGATTGTGTCACTGAACTCCAGACTGGGCAACAAAGAAAAAAAAAAGATGAATATGATAATAGATCTGTCCTCCAAATCCTCAGAGTTCAGTATGTCTATAATTATAACAAGACTGGGATCGGTGGCTCAACCTGTAATCCCAGCACTTTGGGAGGCAGAGGTGAGTGGATTGCCTGAGCCTGCGGTTCAAAACCAATCCGGGTGACTTGGTGAGACCTCATCTCTACAATAAAATAAAAAATCAACCAGGCGCGGTAGCTTGCGCCTGTAGTTCCGGCTACTTGGAAGGCTGAGGCGGAAGGATTGCCGGAGCCCAGCAGGTCGATGTTGGGATGACTGTGAGCATGCCACTGCACTTCAGCCTGGGCAGTGGAGTGAGACCCCAGTCCCCCCAAAAAATTATGCTAATACATTATGTGAATTTATTCTCTGTTATAAGACCGAATGTACCATTCATAATGAGAGTGAAGATAGCCTTGAGAACATTCTAACTTGGCAGAGGATATATACACATAAATAAGTAGGCCAGGCACAGTGGCTAACACCTATAATCCTAGCACTTTGGGAGGCTGAGATGAGAGGATTGCCTGAGCCCGCAGGTTCGAGACCCACCAGGGCAACTTGGCGAGACCTCATCTCTACAATAAATCAAAAATCAGCCAGGCATGGGGTCATGTGCCTGTAGTTCCAGCTACTTGGAAGACTGAGGCAGAAGGATCACCAGAGCCCAGCAGGTCGAGGCTGCAGTGGCTGGGAGTGGCCACTGCACTCCAGTCTGGGCGACAGAGTGAGACTCCAACTCAAAAAAAAAAAGAATTATGGAGGGAGAACTGTGAAAGAAGTTAGTTTCATTTTGGACAGAGTGATTTCAGGGTGCTCTGGGCCATCAGAGGTGAAAATTTCTAGTGAAGTGTTAGAAATGTGGGTCTAGAATTTAAAAGAGAGTTTGAGGGTAGAAATATAAAATTGGCTCTCCCAGCATAACTATCTGTGGTAGGTAATGTTATAGAATGAGATGAAGTTACTCAGTGAAAGAAAGTCAAACAAGAGGAGACTTTAACTTACTTTTTTAATTTATTCATTTATTTATATATTTATTTATTTTTAGAGATAGGATCTTGCTCCGTTTCCCAGGCTGGAGTACAGTGGCGCAATCATAGCTCACTGCAGTCTAAAACTCCTTCCTCAGAGGGGTTACAGGCTGAGCCACTGAACCCAGCTCTTTTTTTTTTTTTTTTTTAAGTTGGAGTCTCACTCTGTTGCCCAGGCTGCTCATGGCCCTGCAGCCTCAACCTGCTGGCTTCTGCCTCAGCCTTTCCAAGTAGCTGGAAATACAGGCCTGCACCATCACATCCGACTAATTTTTTTTTATTTATTGTAGAGGTGAGGTCTCACCAAGTTGCCCAGGCTGGTCTCAAACCTGTGGGTTCAGGCAGTCCTCTCACCTCTGCCTCCCAAAGTGCTGAGATTATAGGTGTGAGCTACCGCATCCGGCCATCCCTCCTTAATTCTAAAATCTGTTAATGACTTCCCATTCCCAGCCTAGAAATCTTTGAGTTGTTTTAGTTTATGTCCCTTTTATATCTCCTTTCTTTTCCAGTTGACCGCAATTATATTATTTCCTCTTAAGACTTATCTTGACTCCATCCTACCTTCTTTTATTTCAATATTCATTGTCTTATATCCAGACTCTTTACACCTTTTCCCTAGACTCAACAGTCTGTCCGAACTGGTTTCCCTTCCTCCCATATTTCTTCTAGTGCATCCTCTCCCCTTAAAGTGGTTCTCAAATGTTTTGGACTCATGAATCCTTTACATTCTTAAAAAGTATTGAAGACCTCAAAGAGCCCTTGTTTATATATGAATTATAACCATCAAGATTTATTATATTAAAAATTAAAGCAGAAAATTTAAAAATATTTGTTCATTATTTTTAAAATACCAATAAGCTCATTATATGTTAACTTGTTGCTGTAGACTGAAAAGGAACTGTCTGCAAGCTAGAAAGAGGACCCTCACCAGAGCCCAACCATCTGTACCCCAGTCTTGGATTTCTGGCCCCTAGATTGTAAGACAATAACTCTGTTATTTAAGCCACTCAGTATACGATATTTTATTTTGGCAGCCCAAGCTGATTAACACAGATTTTGGTACCGAGAAATTCAATAATAACAAATACGTAAATATGTGAAAGAGATTTGAAACTGGGTAATGGGTTAAGGCTGAAAGAGTTTTGAGGTGCATACTAGAAATGTGGTTGTTAAAGACAATTCTAGTGAAGTCTCAGATGGAAATGAGGAACTAGGGGAAAGGTGACCCTTATATACAGTAGAAAATCACTTGGCTAAACTATATTCTAGCATTTTGTGAAGGTAGAATTTGAAAGCCGTGAGACTGAATATTTAGCTGAGAAGATTTTCTTAGCAAAGTGTTGAAGAACCACCTTGGTTTCTCCTGACTGCTGATAGTGACTTGTGAAAGGAAAAAGATGCACTGAAGAAGGAGTTGTTAAGCAACAAGGAACCAGGACTTGAAGGTTCAGAAGTTCTCAGCCTATCCATATTGTAAAACATTGAGAAAACTTGTTTTCGAAGAAGCGCCTAAGGGTGTGACTGAACAACCATTTGATATTATGTGTAGACCTCATGAACTTAATCAGTCCTCGCAGCAGAAACCAGGAATAGAGTTGGATTTAGACCAGCAAACACACTGCCAGTGTGAATTAAAAGGGACAGAGAAAGTGGGACAGAATAAAGGAAGGCTGTTAGACTTCTTGGATTCTAGAAGACAGGACCATAGAGCTGTTCAACTGCAAATGTGTACAGACTTCACAGAAAGGAAAGAATGACCAAACTCAGGGCTGCCACACCCAACACAGGCCCAGGGGCCGAGGTTGTTTCCTCCTGGGTTTCAAATGGTGGGGCTGCCTTTCCAGTTTCAGGGGTCAGGATGACTGCCCACTGCCTCAGGGGCCGGATCATCCTCACAGCTACATGGATTGGGGGCTGCCTCACAAAACCGTGGAGGTGACATTGCTGCCTCAGTGGGCCCAGAGGCTGAGGATCAAACCAGAAAGTTCTACTCAAGCTTCTTCTCTTTTCTCTCTCTCTCCATCCCTCCCCCCAACCCCCGACATCCCCCTCTTCCTCCCTTTTTTTTTTTTGAATCAGAACACTGCCACCACAGCCCTGACCTGCTGCGCTCAGGCGATTCTTCTGCCTCAACCTTCCAAGTAGCTGGAACCACAAGTGCATGCCATCACACCTGGCTAATTTTTTGATTGATTATAAAAGTGAGGTCTCACCAAGTTGCCCGGGGTGGTCTCAAACCCCTGTGCTCAGGCACTTCTCTTGCCTCCGCCTTCCAAAGTGCTGGGATTACAGGCCTGAGCACCTTGCCTGGCTTTTTTTTTTTTTTTTTTTTGAGACAGGATCTCACATTGTTGCTCAGACTGTCTTGACCTACTGGGCTCAGGCTATCTTCCTGCCTCAGCCTCTCAAGTAGCTGGGATTACAGATGTGCCACTGTATCTGGCATTCAAGCTTTCAGATCTTTTTTTTTTTCCCCGACTTATTGTAGAGACAGGGTCTCACCAAGTTGCCCAGGCTGGTCTCGAATCCCTGTGCTCAGACAGTCCTCTCGCCTCAGCCTCCCAAAGTGCTAGGATTACAGGCTTGAGCTACTGTGCCTGGCACAAGCTTTAAGATCTAATGAAATTTTTCCACTAGGTTTTGGACTTGATTGGGACCCATCACCCGTTCCTTCCTTTTGATTTCTCCCTTTTGGAAGAAGAATGTCTATCCTATGCTTGCCACCATTATAAAGTATATTAGAAGCACATAACTTGTCTGGTTCCACAGGTTCACATCTGGAGAGGAATTTAAGGATGAATCATAGCTTGTGTCTCACTTGTATCTGATTCAGATAACATTTGGATGAGACTTAGAACTTTAGATTTTAGAGTTGATACAGGAATAAGTTAAAACTTCTAGGGCTATTGGGTAGAATTAACATATTTGGTATGAAAGAAGGACATTAATTTTGGGGAGCTGAGAGATAGAATGCTATAGACCGAATTGTGTCCCCCAACATTTATATTTTGAATCCCTCATCCCCCACGTAATGATGTTGGAGATAGGGCTTAAGGAAGTGATTAAGGTTAAGTAAGGGTAGAAACCTGGTCTGATAGAATGGATACCCTCAGAAGAGATACCAGAGCTCGCGCTCTGATTGTTGTAAAAACACAAGAAAATGGCCATCTGCCAGCCAGGAAGAGAGCCTTCACCAGAACTCGACTGTCCTGGCAACCTGATCGCAGACTTCCAACCTCCAGAACTGTGAGGAAATAAATTTCTGTTGTTTCAACAAAAGACTATGGTGTTTTGTTAGACAAGCCCAAAGTGACAAATACATAATATTGTAAAAAATAGTTATATCTCCCACAATAAGAAAAAGTTGAGTCAGAAGATTGGCATTGTTTTATACGTGTTTAAATCTCTAATGTCAGCCGGGCTCAGTGGCTCAGCCTGTAATCCCGTACCTCTGGGAGGCTGAGGTGAGTGGATTGCCTGAGCCCGCGGGTTCGAGACCCACCTGGGCAGCGAGACCTCACCTCTACAATAAATCAAAAAGTCAGCCGGGCGTGGTAGCGCATTCCTGTAATTCCGGCTACATGGAAGGCTGAGGTGGAAGGATGGCCAGAGCCCAGCAGGTCGAGGCTGCGGTGGCCAGGAGCGGCCACTGCACTCCAGTCTGGGCGACTGAGTGAGGCTCCAACTCAAAAAAAAAAAAAAATCTCTAATGTCTAGCTTAATAGAAGACAACTTATTCTATCTGTTTCTATATTGTCTATTGTAATATGTTGTTTTGATTGAAGTATGAAAAAAAAATCCAATCTCACACAGATATGTAATTGAAAAATGGAGGAGTGTTTTAATAGCCTTCTCAGAAGGTTGTGGATATTCTTTTTTTACACTACACCAATACCTGCTAAGAGGTATTTTCTGAAGGTTTAGTTGCAGTGTGGAAGTCGAAATTTGCATGCTGTTACAATCCATTGGTATATCTTGCATTTTGAATGGATTTTTTACTTATGCATAATTTTGTGGCATTATACATTGTTTATTTGGAAAGTACTGTTCACTGAGTTATACATATCATAAATGTTGATACATTTTATTGCGTAATACAAAAAACCATATTTCTTTATGTCATAATCAATCTCAGAAAATTGCCAGGCTCATTGTAGCAGATACATGTTTTTCAAAATTCCGATATTTACTTGAAAGCTCAAATTTTATCACTGGCAACAAATGTTGCCTATGCTGGTCTTGAACTCCTGGATTTAAGTATCCTGCCTCACCCTCTCAAAGTGCTGGGATTACAGGTGTGAGCCACTGTGCCTGGCCTCTCTGTTTATTTTCTAACTTCATTTATAGGTCTCCTGCCTACCCCTTACCTTGTACTCTAGGTTAACCATGCTGTTAGTTTTTATGATTCTTCCTCTGCTTGGCATGTTTTTTATCTGGCAACCTTCTACTCATCCTTTAGTGGTTCAATATAAGTTCAAATGTCACCTCTTTCTAAAGCCTGTCTTGATTTCTTCAGAGCAAAATTAATCACTTCCTTCTTTTTTCTTTTCGAGTTGGAGTGTCACTTTGTCATGCAGTGCCATGCTCACGGTCACTGCAACCTTGACCTGCTGGGCTCATGCAATCGTTGTACCTTAGCCTTCTGTGTAACTGGAACTATAGGCGTGTGCCACCACGCCCAGCTAATTTTTTGATTTACAGTAGAAATAAGGTCTCAGACCCTTGGGCTCAGGCAGTCCTCTCACCTCTGCCTCCCAAAGTGCTGGGATTTCAGATATGAGCCACCGTGCCTGTCAACTTTCTTTTTTTTACTTAGAATAAAATGTATCTCTACGGTAGCACTTATCACATAGTTTAAACTCTTTTTTTTTTTTTTTTTTTGAGTTGGAATCTCACTCTGTTGCCCAGACTGGAATGCAATGGCTGCTCCCGGCC